ATGTGCCGTATGAAAAACTAAAATCCGAAGCGGGCAAGTGAAATTAATTTCGTCGTTCTCAGACATCAATTCCTGGCAACCCCTTTACTGACATTTACAAGTCAGGAGTGTATTGTTATCGGAAAGTAACCGCGCGCTCTACGGGGTTCGAGTATTTAAAAGCCGTACGAGCTACAGTGATTCACATTGCAATTCTAGCCCGGATAAAACCCTCAACTTTTAATACATTAAGATTTTTAAGTTTAATATTAATTTATTTTAACATTCAAAGATTTATTAAATCATTTTTTCTACTACCACCATTATCGCACATGTTCCCATGATCTTTTAAATGCACATTGAAAAGAGTTGTGGCTTATGGCGCTTTAGTCACGGGCTGAAGTTGGCAACAAGTTTTCAGTCTTGTTTTAGGATAATATTAATTATTTGTTGACAAGCGTTGCATGGGATCACGGTGAGCAATACAGGGAGGGGGGGTGCTCATCAAAACCGAGGTCTCAGGGGGTCCCTCACTCTTTAGCGCGCTTTTGTTCTTCTAGCCAGCAGAAACCAAACTGCAATGCCCTCTCTTGACACACCTTTGCCTAATCAATTTATTTATCAGTTTCTCTAAAAGCATATAACACGATACGGCGTGTCAAATTATTTTTTAAGTATAACTATGGATATAAATTGATATTAAATGTTCCGCATTTTTAATGATCTCTTTTGCATTATGTTTTTACTGGTCAGTAAAGTAAAAGAAATCGGCAGTAAAGTAGAACTTTACTGCCGATTTAATGCGAGTATTGTATGCAGCCCATTATACATTTTAAGATGTGTCTACTGCTCCTCAGCAGCAACTAAATAATATTTAAAAAAAAGCACTGTCGCAGAGGTCAATTGGACCCTTTCATAAAATGTTGTTTAATAAAAATAATAAGTTAATTTTATGTGTTAAATTTAATAGATAAGCTTATTAAATTTTATTTCAATACATTTAATCCCTTTTTTGTTATAATTGTGAAGTTTCACTTTTATATGTTAGCGAGAATGTTATTAAAATTTCTATATCTTTTAAAATATTTGTATCTTATGTTATCTGGCTTTAAAATATATAAAGAATTCTATTTGAATACCGTAAGAGAGAGATAGATAATAAAGTTAATACTCCTAAGGTATTAGCATGTTAAACATTCACTTCAATGGGGCTAATTAAGAAAGCTGTTAACATTCAACATTTACATCCATACATAACCATACTTGCCCACCTTTTTTTCGTTTGCGAAAGCATCCGCAAACGTACACACATGTACTTCACTCATTACAGCCCACCTGAAATGTGTATTTTCGAATCGGATTTAATTTTACCTAATGCCTCTGAAACCCTTCATATTTTAACCCGCCGCTATTTATAAACTAAAAAGGGAAGAGTTATGTGTTGCTTTTAAAATAAATATAAAAACGACGAAAGTTATATGAAGACGAGATAATATAACCAAAAACTAAAATCATGTCATTAGAACGAAATGCTCTCATTTTAGATTGTTCACCAATATTTTTCAACTGTTCTTGTGAACAAAAACACAAATTTAGCTTGTCATCTTTGAACCTTGTCCTAATTTTAACTTATCAACGTATAGTCACGTATGTCGACAAACCGGTGTTTGATATTTAAAATTGATGACGCAACGAAAAACATTCGTAAATCAACACATTATTGAATGAAAAAGCAGGATAAAACTGTTAAACCGGTATTAAATAAGTAGAAAAGGGGGATATTGAAAGTAGGGGGACGTTGAAATGAAGGTTAAATGCATTATTTATATGTATGGCCATAAAAATTTGATTAGTTCTTTGGAGGGAGGAGATCCGGCTAGTCGATCAGAAGAGTTCCCGATAGAGCAGGTGTAAATACGATAAGGTGACGGCACGTGCTTGAAACACGAAGTCAGCATCTTAGCGCACGTTAGCCGTCGTTTGACGCCTGCCTCTACTTCGTTTTTTTAACGTGCTCAAGTCCGGCTGCAAAGAATTGCTCGAAGCTAGCAGCCGAGATCCTCTTCAATAACTACATTTATTTTACTGCCCATCTCAATTCGCATAAATCGGATCAACGAATGACACATCCAATTGACACATTGTATTTATCAATTCAACACTCCACTCCACAAAGGTTCCCTTAACTTCTGTCCTTGGAAGTTACTCTTTCAAAGTGCAAGTTTTATAGAAAAACATAATGCCTTGTCATCAATTTAGCTAATCGTCATTATTTTAGCTTGTCCTTATCAGGGCTTGTAGATTTTTTTTAATCATTTAAGGGTGTCAATGCTGCAACGTTGCAGCAAGATTGCAACATTTGCTACAAGATTGCTGCAACTGCACTGCAACCAAAGATTACTGTTACATGACAATATTGCGGCAACGTTGCTGCAATGTAGCGCGACAACTGCAATGTGGTAATAATGCTGCAACGTTGCAGCAATATTGAGTGCTATAGAGGTTTTGTTATTTAAGATTGTCATTATTTTAGTTTGTCAACATTTAAACTTACGGCAAATTGGATTACAAATTTATATTCACGACATTTTTTATGCCTTGTATTTCGATTTATTTATTATATTATTCATTGCAATATTTTGCAAACAGTGAGATACGTACAAAATACAAGATTGCAAAGATTTCAGTTACATGGCAATATTGCGGCAACGTTGCTGCAATGTTGCGCGACAACTGCAATGTGGTAATAATGCTGCAACGTTGCAGCAATATTGAGTGCTGTAGAGGTTTTGTTATTTAAGATTGTCATTATTTTAGTTTGTCAACATTAAAACTTACGGCAAATTGGATTACAAATTTATATTCACGACATTTTTTATGCCTTGTATTTCGATTTATTTATTATATTATTCATTGTGCAATATTTTGCAAACAGTGAGATGCGTACAAAATACAAGATTGCTGCATTTGCACTGCAATCAAAGATATCAGTTACATGACAATATTGCGGCAACGTTGCTGCAATGTTGCGCGACAACTGCAATGTTGTAATATTGCTGCAACGTTGCAGCAATATTGAGTGCTGTAGAGGTTTTGTTATTTAAGATTGTCATCATTTTAGCTTATTATTTTAGTTTGTCTACATTTGAACTTACGGCAAATTGGATTACAAATTTATATTCACGACATTTTTTATGCCTTGTACTTCGATTTATTTATTATATTATTCATTGTGCAATATTTTGCGAACAGTGAGAAACGTACAAAATACAAGATTGCTGCAGTTGCACTGCAACCAAAGATTTCAGTTACATGACAATATTGCAGCAATGTTGCTGCAATGTTGCTCGACAACTGCAATGTGGTAATATTGCTGCAACGTTGCAGCAATATTAAGTGCAGTAAAGATTGTCATCATTTTAGCTTATTATTTTAGTTTGTCCACATTTGAACTTACGGCATTTTGGATTGAAAATTTGACTATTGTCCTAGAAGTGCGTTTACGAACAGAATAGAGTAATGTGTATGTATGCGTCGTTAGTGTAGTGGTAATGGTAGTTGGTAACATTGCAACATCTGAAACGTACGAACGAATAGTACGCGCTTAACATCAATCGGTGGGATTCGTTTGAAAGGCAGCCCTGGATTCCAAAAGCGCCGACACACACACACACACACACACACACACACACACACATATTTTATATATACATCAGTCTAATTAATAAATGGCGGACATAAGATGATTAAAGTCTGCATATTCTGCCCCACGGCCGCCGTTACACATTTACTTATTTGCATTCAATTCAACCCTTTGGATTTGTTAATAAACTCGCTTGTCTTGCCAATTATATTTACACCTACGTATTTTGTCCGGTCTCCTCACTCGCACGTCACTTTGATCTGAACTATTTAATATTACTTGGGTCTTACCCTGGAAACATTTACGCTTAATGAATAGACCTATAGGTACACAAATAAAGGGATTTAAAAATGTTTAGTAAATAGAAACGTCCGTAAACTTAACCGGTCAAAATAATTTAGACTTAACTTCACTGTCTGCTATAATTATTGTTGCATCTTATAATGTAATTGGGTGTGGGTGGTGTATAGAGGCCGGGGGTTAATATTACCTTTTATGGCCTAGAGTAGATTTACGAAGTAACATTTTAGTCGTATATTAAATTCCTCCCGATTCACTTGGTAATTGCAAACCATCGCAAGATACACGAACCTGGCAAAAATGTTCATTAGTTTAAACACATTTTATATATTTTCACTTAAATTAATGCTTATTTTAACAAGAAAAATAGTTTATACAAAATAGACGTAAACATTATCATTTAACCTTTTAGTCATCTTAGCTTGTCATTGTTTTAGATTGCGATCATTTAGCTTGTCAACATTTAAGCTCGTCCTTATTATAATAGTTTATTAAGGCTTTTCTCCCTTTGAAGTGACTTTATCAGCTTTCAAATATTGAACTAGAACTAAAACTATTTTTCCAGCCTTCAACTCAATTGCTGGTTCTTGAAGGAAGCAATTCCATTTGTGATCTGGAAATTTTGGCTTTCGCCTCCTTCTTCTTCTGTCCATTTGTCCAATCAAGGTGTCTTCATCATAGTTTACAATGTCACCATTTTGTCATTTAACCTTTTAGTCATCTTAGCTTGTCATTGTTTTAGATGGCGATCATTTAGCTTGTCAACATTTAAGCTTGTCGTAATTATAACTTATCAATATTTAACCTTGTCCTTATTTTATATTTTTATCATTTGATCCAAATAAACCCAGCTGAACGGTTTTTGCATCAAACTTTTTTATATATAATTTTATTTTTTATGTCTTACGCCAAGTGTTTAAATTCTTTTGCTAAAATAAATATGCATTTAAAAAGGCAGACATGTTTTTATAAGGATGACGAAATCCTATTTAAGATAGTTGATTGAAAGGCCGAGATAGATTCCGGATTTCGGGAAGGGAATTACAAATATAAATTGGTTAATGTCTGTCTGTTGCAGGGCCATGGGACTCGGAGGCCAAATAGCCGGGGTGGATTGATATCGTGCAATCATGCATATGCCACAATTTATACCGACGAACGCAGCTTCACTTCTCCTCCTATACATGCTACTGATATTGCAAACAAAAGGTAAGACTATTTTTTTCTTAGGAAAGTGTGTTTTTTTTCGTGCGAGCACATCAGTGAACGAAATTGTCAGTCAGTCATACTAAACAGAAGTAAAACATTGATTCTGAACGAAACCAAAACAAAAAAAGTTGTGGAGACGCCGGGTATCGATCCCGGTACCTCTCGCTTGCTAAGCGAGCGCCCTACTATCTAAGCTACGCTGCCTGATATTAATTTTTTAACACTCGTCAGTCATTGTTTAACACAGCGTCCACCTCGGGACTGTTGACACTTCCTTAAATTATACGGTGACAAGCGTTAGTCTACTAGATTCTTAAAGAAGAAATAAATGTTAATGTTTGGGCGTAATAAAATTTGCGTCTCACTTTATAAACTACAGGCCCAGTGCGGCTTTAGTATTTTGGTGTAGCAGAACAAACGTTTGCAAGGAGTTGTGAGATTTCCCTCCTTCCCCCACCCCCCAAACGTTGCTTTTCGCCCACCCCCATAAATGCATTACACAATAATTAAATTCCATTTCGGTCACATTTAGAACTGTATGCGGCTGAATTTGTGCAACATACAACTCTGAATTAAATGGCATTGCTTACACCTATGTTCTAATTTCATGCGTTCATAATTTTATTACCATCAACACAGGTATTTTACCCTTTATTACCTCAAATTTATCAGTCTGCGCCCGGACTTTTAATGTTGCACATCTTAAAACCCCGACACCTCTTCCTTTAATTAACTGAGCACTTTTTCTCTCTACACTACATGCATTTTTAAGCAGGGGACTGTTTAAACGGCATGATGAGCGGCAATATTTTGGCGAAAATTCAAATCTGATTTAATCTAACTCATACCAAGTAAATAATAGATGGTTGTTCATGTAGCTACATGTATGTGTATGTGTGTGTGTGTAGGTGTAAGTTCTCGCTAGCAGGGGCGATCATATTCAATCTAACCTTGTTAATTAAATACACCAGAAGCGTAATAGTAATAGAGTAAATCGTGTACGCAGATCACGTTCCAGAGTTGTAATACTAAGGTGGTTATGTTAATTATTCAACAAACGAAACAAAAGCGCTTATCGGCCTAGCTAACCCCAGTGATTCAAATTGCCATTCTTGCCAGACAAAAGTCTAAACTTTTAAAATTTAATTTGAATTAGGAATGCCATTTGACACCGCAAATAGACAACTACAAAGTTTTATGACACAGACATCCAGACATCAGAAAAAATGAAAGTTATTCAGAATTCGATTCTGAGTCGATCCATATATGTAAAGGTATATTTAACTGCCCTGAAAGTCGCATTTCCAAAAATTCCTTATCTTCTACAAGTCAAGGAGTCTTCGACTTCCTGACTAACTAGAACATTATGGATTAAGAGGAATAGTCTATAAGCTATTGAAATCTCACCTTATGGATAGACGTCAAGTTGTTAAATGGAAAAACAGAAGTAATCACGTCATATGGGGTTCCTCAGGGTTTGATTTTAGGCCCAGTACTATTTATCTTATATACAAATGATTTTTCTGCAAACATTCCAGAAAGTAAAGTCTTTATGCAGATGATACATCAATAATGACTTCTACATGTTTGATCCATTTTAGTTCACTATCTACATGAACTCCCAAAAACTTGATTGTACTTTTATTATCTGCAAAAAAAGTTAATATTTTTTTTTTCTCATTTCTTTGAGTTCATCCATTCTTTAGCTGTTTTTAATATACCTAGTTTTTTACTTTTCGCTTATTTTAATGTTTTTTTGGAAATTTATAGATAATAATTATCTGTAGCATAAATACTACATCAACTTGAAGTATTATTGATCTTCCTTGTATTTCAATGCAATTGAAAAATTTTATTTTAAGTTGAATATTCATAATGTCTCTTGAGACGTCTCTAATAGGTTTAACAAAAAAATGTTTGCTTTATTTTAAAATCATAAAACTTTAATAGTACGAATTTATTTTCCATAAAATTTTAAATAATTCATGAGCAAAATAAGTCGGGCTTTTGAAAAGACTTTTCTATCAATATTTAAATGGCAAAGGAATTTGCATTATTTTGTAGTTTGCAAAACTTTTGAAACTATATGGATTTATATATGTGGCATGGTGGAGTATTTAAACATGACGTATGCGATCATTTTTAGAATGTAAACATATGCACAGTGGTCCGATTTAAATTGGGAATGTTGGAGAGATTAGAATAGGTAAAAATCAAAATATGCCAAGTCTAGCAAATACTCGCATTTTATTTTTACCTGTTTAAATCTCTCCAAGATCAGATGATGGATTTCCAATTCAAGATGGACAATAAGGTTAAATTCAATATTTCCTGAAATGTGCGGAAAGAAAAATATTTTGATAATTGGACTTTTTCAATATATTAAAGACGAAAAGGTTAGCGCTACTAGTTTATTTTGATTCCACTGTTATTTTTGTCATGCATGTGCGTCCGTTCTATCTATGTTAAACATATTAGATCTTGAGCGATTAAATAGGCCATGAATTAGTTGTTCAAATCCTGAATAATTAGTTATCCTAAACAGGCAGTTATTTGGAATGAATAAATGATGGATTTGGGCACTCAAACGTTCGAGTAGCATACGTCAGTACCGTATTCCAGTCAATTTTACCCTTTACACTCAACACTATACAAGGCTAAATTTACTGTATTTCTATGTATAGTAAAGTCGGGTAATATGACAACTTTAGAAACGTTATTCTAAAATGTGAGAAACGATACAACACTGAAAGTAAGTACCTAAAAAATTGTTGAAATTATTCTTTCGTTGATTAAAAAAATTACGTGATAAATAAAATTTAATAATAGCACAATTGGTTAAAATCTAGGAAAGATTGGTGGATTTGTGTGAAGTAAAGTGAAGCTAATATAAAACGTGATTATGATTATTTTTTATTTTTTGTTTCACTGTTAGTTTAGAATTGGGTTTTTGGCACTAATGCAAGAATTTTAAGAAATCATACATTTTGAATATTAGAGCTTCACGGAAGATAGCTTCACGGAGGTTAGGATTTCGTATGTTTTTTTTAAACATCCCTTAGTATTTTGAAATAAGTTATTGTATCTTTTGACACCTTAATATTTTTTAAAAATACATAAAATATTTATAAAAAAATCTACTTACTGAGATATTATGCTTCACGGTGAATATGTTTTTAAATAGCAAATTAATGAACATAAACTTTTGAATTATAAAACAGCAACACTCTCATCTGCATATAAATTTACAGGAATCACATGCATCTATAATGTCGTAAACAGAGGTTTTTGCTTATTTAAAATGATTAAAGCGCATTCTTTTGCATAAAATTTAAAGCAAAAATAGATTCACGGAGGATAGAATCAATTTTTGTAACACCTCATAAATGGTTATAAAAATTATTTCTTTTAATTTTTAATAATATTTTATATTTGATTCGATTGCTTTGGATGTGTTTAATTTACTTAGTGAACTGATATTTTTAGTATGCTTTTACTACCACAGATACTAAGAGTAACAGTCACGGAGGATAGGTTTTAGACTTTTAAAACTTAAAAAACAGCATATTACCCGTCTTTACTTTATGTATGTACTTTCTCTTAACCCTTGTATGGCCTGTACAAGTACATGCCATTTACAGATATAGATTTTAGTGTATACGTCGAGAGCATTTGCTTTGGATTGGCTTTATTCTGCAATAAGGGCTCATAGCTGAGAGCCACCACTTCAAAACGACCCCAGTACAGAGAAATGTTTACTCGATTGTTTTGAAAAGAACAATAACATTGGATCTAATCATATTAAAATGATATAAAACTACATTTTATGGAGAACTTTACTCTTTAGTCCATAACTTGTAACGTCTACATACATTTTTAGTTTTCTGCATAGACATCTTTGTTTGACTGAATTTTTTAAGAAATCAGAAAAGTATTTTATTTAAGCGTGATTTTACGAAATGTTTCTTTTCTCCAGTGGATTGCGATGGCGTTCAGTAACAATCAATTTCATATGTGTCCCTGAGGAGGGGTGACCAAAACTAACGAAACACCCTTTTCCCCGAGGTGCAGTATACACATATCCGTCCTTGTGTCCGTGAAATAGAAATGTATTTACTTTTTTTCCTGATTTTATGGCACTTCTGAATATGTCTTATAATCATTACTCATGCTTTTTATACATACAGTATTTTTTCTTCTACAAAACCTAAAATGAATTTATAAGGCTGTTGGTTTGTTGTTTTATTTTTAAGCTGACACTAAAATGTAAAACAAGTACGTGTTGTGAAGTTTAGTTTGAAACTAAAAAATATGTTTGTGACTTTCGAGAATTTAAACTAAGATTTATTTTTAATTTCTTTCAAGCGAATACTTTACAATAAACCAAAAAAAATTACAATAAGGGTTGAAAACAAATTTATTTAGCCTCGATAACAATGAAATTAAAATTGACTGCATAATATGGAACAAAGTGTTAAAGGGGAAAACAAACTTGTTGAGATTGGTAAAAGGCTTTAACAAGGGTTAAAGGATAAGTAAGGGATAACAAAGTTAAAAAAAGAGGAATAAATTTTTTATGAAAGCGTGTTAAAAGAGAAGGTATTTAATATAATTTTTACTCATTCAATATTTCTTTATGTATTTTTTCTACTTCCACCTTTAAAACCATTATCGTAAGTGACCTTTTAAATACACACTGACAAGTTGTGGCTTTATGCCCTTTTAGTCACGGGCTGAAGTTAGTTGAACTTTACTCTTTTGCTCATAACGCATTGTAACGTCTACATACATATCAGCATTACTTTTATATATATTTGATCAAAAACTGAGACAAACATAAAATTGAAAAGCAAAAGTTTGGAAAGAATTGATTAGACTTTGGTCACCAGTGTATAATGTATAAAAACGTAGTAGCCTGGGGAAGAAATAAAAATCAAGTAAGTTGAAGCTGAACGTCTTGTGTAGCAAAGCTACAACTACTTGGGCCACTCTTGCTTGGT